AACATGGAAATTTTTTCTGTGGACCACTTGTATTGCTGAAGCCTGAATATGAGGAACTGCTCAGTCTTGTTACAATTACTTCAAATTCCTGTGCCACTAGCTGTGAACTGATGCAAGGGACAGCTGGGTATTAAGTTGTCTCTACTTACTAACTAGTTAATAATTTATGTCTTAATTTACAGAGGGGACAGCTATACTTTTAATCTAGTCTCACAGTTTGTGCCATGAGGGGAGAGAGAAGATTCCCACTGCTAGAATCTGCATGGGGCAGCACAGACCACTATGGAAAGTCTGCTTGCTCTTTTTTTTTCTGCAGAAACAGCGAAGCAAGCAACTAGCTTAAAAGGAAAAACTTCCTGTCATTCTGAAAACAGACACCTTGTATTCTGGATAACTAGTCAAATTAAAAGTTTATCTTACTAAAATATTAATCATTTTTAAAAAAACAAATCACAAACATTGCATCCCTCCATCTCCCCAGCCTCCCCAAAATACAACTTTTATTGAAACCAAGTGCCTTATTTAGGCTGTGCTGTTTGATGTGCCAGGTAAGAGCAAATAAAGGACACTGACAACAGAATTCAGCTCAATATTTCTGTCTGCTTTAACACAGACTGATGGAGAGCCTTAGACTTTCATTACCTTTTTAAAAATAGAAGGTACATGAATAGGCATGCACCTCAGGTTTTTTAGAGAAATGAGTCACGGCTTTTCAATTACGTTTCTTTTCTTGCAACCTTTATTTTCAATTTAAGAAAAATACTTTATTTGTAAATCCTATTGCATTCTTTTCAAAATTCTGTGAAGATAGTTAATTTCACCTCATGTGATTGGGATAACAGCAATAATAGCACTGTGAAAAGCAATAGGCCTTATTGTTGCTGTGGTTTAGTGAAGCAGATAATGAGATCTGGTAGGTTACCTTGAGAGGAGTATTTACAAGTAGCACTTCACTCTGTAAATATTCTTGTCTATGAGTCAGAGTCTATGCAAAGAAAAATTCAGTTTCAGCCATGAATTCAACTTCACCAATGTATTAGTGTATTCTGGGAAGTGCTTCATTTCTGTATATATGGGCTCTTCCCAACCAATACTACACAGAATTTGATGTCATCCCCAAAAGCTCAAAGTATTTGTCAGAAGTGTTTTGCACGATTATTTGCTGAAGACATTAGTTAGAGAAACAAACTAAGAGGTAGAGAGCTGCTTTTCATAACACATTTAAGGAGCCAAAAGTATAATCTGCATATCCTGTTGTCCATCCTAGTATTCAGCCTTTCAGCTGAAATAAAGCTTAAATTACCTACAACACTCTAATTTTGTTGTTGCAATTTCTGTAATTGCTTTAAGTATGCTATGCTGCTGTGAAAGATTGAAAAAGGAAAGGCAGAATACATGTCTGGCTGTGAAAAAAAAAATAATTTGGAAAACGGAGAAGCAGACTTTTATTTTATAAAGTCACATTTGACTATGGGGTCAAGATTAAAGAGTATCCAGAATTCTTTGAAATTTTCATCTTAAAGGTAAAGAGTTTCTTCATAAGAAGTCTCAACTATAATGGCTTAATAAATTTTGAAGCTCACAAACCCTTTCAAATCCAAAGTGTGTGAAATGTTCTGGATGAAATAGCACTGGATGCTACATAGAGGCTTCTGGACATCCTGCAGCTAAAAATAATCAGCAATGCTAGACCTTAGCTTAGCAGTACCTTAATTCCAATCTTTTCCCAAAGTAATATCAAATCTTGATCTAAGCAATGTGAGGAACAAGTGGAAGATACACCAGAATAAAAGGAGCTGGATTCACTGTCTGATTGGTATTAATCATTTTTCCTCATTTATCACTGTATTAGTTGGGCTAGAAGAAGCACTGGAGTTGGCAAAGTTTAGTTTTTTTTATATTCTGGGAATAAGGAATAGATATTTCAACACAATTTCTTGCTTGATGTAACATCATAATCCAAACCTCCTTTCGTATTTCTCTACAAATGGGAAAAAAAGTAAAAGGGAAAAAGGAAAAAGGAAAGCTTGGAAGCACTTAGAAATAACAGGGTGATAAAAGTTCCAGTTCATGTGTGTGGCTTATAGCTATAATGGGTTTTGATTCAAATCCCACACAGTATTGGAACCCCTTCTATGCATAATGCACACCCATAAAATGTATTCAGCTAGTGAAAAAACTTATGGATTTGACATTCCCTACAACTGACCTATGACCACATATTCAGTGAGAAGAGTGTGCTGGGACATGCCCTACCTGTCTGCTCTGTACTGAGAACCCCTCAGAGTCTGCACAGAACTGCTGACATCACAGTCATATGGCAGGGGGGCTAGTGAGGACCAGCTGCCAGAAAAACTCACCTGAGCATGTCTGGTAGCCATATATTCAGATGTCAGCTTGTATGAAGCTGCATCTTTACATGAGCTGCCAGATGTTTAAGAGATTCCAAGAGATTGCTGTATACAGGCTAAAACTTTCAGATTATCCATGGGACTCTGTAAACTCTGGGGGCTCAAAAAAAACCAAAAAAAAAATCTCAAATTTCTGAAATTGTTTTCAGGCAAAAATAGACCCCTTAACTCATAACAACACATGCAACTCAGAGAAAGACAAGACCATTCTACCTAGATCTGGTTGTCATGCTTCAGTTAAAATTATGGCACTGCTTGCCATGAGGAACAGATACAACCACTGTATATGTAAACCATGCAAAACAGAATGTGTATTCATTTACTAGGTTGAAATCAAAGTCAAATGTGTATTTATGAGACTGAAGCTAAAGAAAAATGAGGTAAATTTACTTTTCCCACCCCAGGCATTTATTTGAAGACCTGTATTAACTGTGAAAAAACAAAATGTTGGATTTTGGCAGAAGAAAATTCCACAGCAGAGAGAGACACTGTAATGGATTTTTCTCTGTACTATCAGAAAGGTCAAAGGGAATCTGATTGAAAGTTTGACCTGATCTATTAAAGTTTTACCTGTCTTATTTGGGTTCCAATCAACAGAAGTAAGGAGAAAAGGAATATTCCTTTGGCGCTTAAATACTGAGAAAAGATGGAAAATTATGTGTCCCAGAAATGAAACACTCTAAATACTGCCATTTACCTACCTGTTGATATGCCTTTTTTAAAAAAAATAAATCTGAGTTTAACGAAACAAAGTAGGGCAGGCCCACCACAGCTCCTGTAAGACTTCTCTGTTACTTTTCAGAAAATAGGAAGTTAAAAAAGAAAAAGCTTCCTATCATTATATCCACTCGGGGTATCAACAGTTAGGGAAGCACAATATTTTAAGTCTTAAAAGCCATTATTTTCTCCACACATTGTCTGTGAAGATGAAAAGATAGAGTTCAATGTTTGTATGCGGAATAAATTGAGGAGTGGTTTCTGCAGGAAGATTTTCTTTTGGGGTGCCTGCATTAAACAAGCAAGTTTTTAAACTGAAGGAGGATAATACATTGAAATGATAGGAAAGGAAGAGAAGTTCACAGTTATGAGGATACTATAAGGACTGGTTGAACTGAAGGGTGGGTAAGAAATTAGATGCTTGCAGAGCACAAATAAATGGGTTGAAGAGACTTAGGTAAGAGATTTCATTTTTCCACCTGTCTTTAATTTTTCCCCTTTTTTTTTCATCACTGATATTATAAGGATATAATCCTTATATTCTTACTATGGAAATATATTTACACAAATGAGCATTTATTTACATTTCAAATTTGTATGCCTACTCTTTTTTTGCCTCAAGATCTTGGCAGAGGTATCTCTATTATCCCATGAGAATCTATGGAATATAAATAGGTCCCTAAGTCATGTCTGACAGCTTCAGTTAATGTGGGCAGGTAGATTTTACTCTATGAAATACGCTTCATCCATAACAATTCAAGTGTACTGCACAAGTTATGTGAGAAGAGATGCAAGGTGTGTAAAGAGTTAAAGCTTCCATGGTAACCTCAGCAGCGAGGATGCAATTGGTTCGTTTGGTCCCTTCTGTCACGTCTTGATTCCATGCCAACAAATCATGAACTGTCCATCATTTACACATCTATTTTTAGAGCATCCTCAGCTGCTTCCAATAAAATGATAAATGATACATATTCACAGAGGGCTCATACTGGTCACAGAAAGGGCTGTTTCCATCTGAAATGCAAGGCTGGAGCTCTGGAGCAGAACAACATCACAAAGGTACTGACCTACAGTAAAATCAGATTAGAGGTTTTGGTCAAACTGCCCTTTGCTTTTCTAAGCAGCAACCTGTTCCTAACTAAAGGCAAACAAAATCTATGCCAATGATGAGCAAGTACCCTTGTTGCTAATAAGGGAATTGTTTCAAAAGGCTGGTTCACCTGCAGAGTCACTCTCAAGTGAGAGACATTTAGTAATTACCTCATCTACACTGGAGTAGTTCTTTTGTCCTTTAAACAGGAAGGCATGCTAAACATGTTTAAATGATGACATATGACCACTGCTAACACAGAATCTTTAATAATACATTTCTTTATGCATTTCTGCTCTATTCATGCAGGATGCCCAATTAATACAGGCAAACACTGAACACAAACTGCTTATGTTGTACCAGCAATTCACTGGTGCATCTGCACCACAACAACAGCAACAAAAAGGCAGAATATATATAGACAAACGGGGAAGAGACACTTTGTGGAAGAAAAAACATGAAAATAAAGTCCTTGGGTAGTCAGAAGTGCACTAGCAGAAGTCATACCATGGCATGGAAACTCAACAGAAAACTTTCCTCCTAAAGTGCCCTAACTGCCTACAGACAACAATGCCTTAAAAAAGTAAAGCAATTCATCAGTGCTGTAAGTTTGCTTCGCTCTTTTTGCTTGACCTTTACCATGTTTTTCCTTATTCTGAATACTCTGCACACACTTTGCCTTGCTCCAGTATCACTTGCTAGACTTACAAAGTATCTCCTAGGCTTTCAAGCCAAGTTTCACATACAAACTCAAGTTTCTGTTTTATTTCCTAATATATCCTGAAGACAGACAGCTACATTATGTCTAAACACAGGGAATTAACTCAGTATTTTTCAGGTTACAGATATTGATCAGCAACTAACTTTGAACTACTGCATATTCCCATCAACTGTATATAATTTAAAATATGGACTGAAAGGTCTTTGTACGAGACCGTAGATTTTGAGAGCTGTAATCAGTTGTGAACTACCAAAATTCACTCTTAGTTTAATGCTTTTTCTGCATAAAGTCAATTTGCTTTTAGTGTTCAAGCATTTTTTACTTGTATACCAATATACTGCAGGCTAGTAAACTGCAGTTTTCAGATGGTTTTCCTGACAGAATTTATTCTGAAAAATCAGAACAGTAATATTATTTCAATACCTCTATTTCATTTGCTGATCTGCCTTTTTACGTGACAGCAGAGAGCCTTCTCATACCGACAGGTAAATTCATATTTTAATGCATTATATTACTTTAGAACAACAAAAAAGAAAGTGCTCATTTTTAATATTTCCTTTTCTATATATTCCTTGTCTGAAAGCAGTAAAAAATATTGATAATTGTGGTTTGAAATAATACTTTAAAAATTATCATTAGTTTTTCATAAAAGGACAGCTAATTACAGTACTGATTTTGTCAGAAGTTCCAAAGAAAACCACAGAATTGTTGCTTCATCAAAATTATTTTCTTGTTCTTCTACAAAAGAATTCTTCCTCAGGTGTGAACAGAACTCCTTTTAATATTTAGGAAAAAATCCTTTTTGTTACCATGCTACTGGGAAGCACTAGAATTAGACATGATTAAGACATTTCAAGAGAATGGTTCAGTTGCAGATATCTTTTTCAAGATAGCTTTATCTCATTCTTGTTGCATGTACTTTGTAATGAAAATAATTCATAAACGTAAGATTTTTTAAAAACAAATGAAAAAAATACAACCAAGTCCAAAAAGAAAAAATAATCTGAAAACATCTTTCCAAAAACCAGCCAAAAAAATTTATAAAATCAGCTTATCAGCTTTGTTACAAAGCTAGTTATAAATGTGCTCAAATGCAATATTCCCTTAGTTCATACCTGAGTAGAATTACGTCAAATTGCTTTTCTCTCAGTCATTCCACGTATTTTTTTTTGTTCCAGTAAGAATTAATTTACAAAGCTCATTAAAACTTTTAGGGAGTCTTCAGTTTTGCAAAGCCTCTCAGGCGTTTAGTATTAAGCTGACATAAGTGCATAGCAAAATAAGCACCCAGCTCATTAGAGAGATCAGCAAGGAGAGAGGCACTTTCACCAAATTCATAAACACCACATTTACACTTCAGAGTCACATCCACTGGGGAAACTGCAGAGCCCAGGTAGGCATGAAAGGGCCATCTCCTGGGAAATGCCATGGCATGAGGTGGAACAAAATGTATTCCTATAACTCCTCCTTAGAGTACGCTGAATTAAGCTGAGTGGATGCTTTGATCACACCACATCTTCCTTCACAAGACTGTAGTTAATTGTTCTCACTGTCACTGCCAGAGCTCTCAAAGGAAGAAAGGGAGAGAGGGAGAAAACAGAGACCTGGTCACAGGTCATGAAGAGTCAGCTGGGTGTGCTCAGCACTGTCTGCTCCCACTTGCCCTCCACTCAGGTACCTCCTTCTCTGGGAGAGGGGAAGGGATTTCTGACCTTCCAGTCCCTCATGATCATCAATGAACACAAACAAAATGAAAGAAAACTACTAATCTTTTAAAAACAGATATTTCTTAGATTTTTAAATGTTTTCTACTATTTCCTCCTTTTTAATTCAATGCAAATAAAATAATTTGTGATTTAAAAATGTATATAAATACATAATCACTTAGCTGCATGCTGGCCATTCTGTCAGCACTGCTTATTTTGTGTGCTACTCCAAAGTGTTCTCTGAAAATACTGATGTACAATTGATGGAGGTGTTCATTTATGTATTATTGACACAGCACATATGTATGCTTCAAATTTACAGGTAGTAATTCTTTGCTTCTCAAAACATCTAGATTTATTAGTAGAATAATTTCTGCTCCATGTAAACAAGACTGGTTACATGAGGCTTTTAGAAAAATATTTTCTTGAAAAAGAACAGATAAACATGACCCTATTGATGCTATTGTTAATAATTTTGAATATTTGCATAAATGTGAGCAAAGATGGATGACTTTAAACAAGTCACTAATTAAGAGACTGAAAGAAACAAAGGACTAATGATACCTTATAACCCAAGATAAGCATATTAGCATATTCAGCAATCCCATATCATTGTGGTAATGTCAGAAAGACAAATAATCCTGCTTATACCTGAAGCAGTACTGTAAATAATGCAATCAGTCACAGCAAGGGACCTTTGCTTGCTGTTCATTTTTTACATGAACTCTGCTTTTTAAATTAGGTTTGCCACTGAAATATATATATGTATGAAAATGAATAATATTTTTTGCAATAATATGCGAGCTAAAGGATCTCCTGCAACTGATTTACTAGCTGCCATTTCTTAAAAGTAGCAAATCCTTATGCACACTTCAATCTAACTCATGCTGCTGAGAATGGCAGATCATTAGTAAAGTCAATTTTTCAGATTTATTGCCAGAAAAACTGCTTGCTTTTTGCACGACAACAAAATCTTTTCCAACTGAACATTTGTGAGATTTTTTTTTTAATTAGCCAGAAGCTAAAAAATTACTCACAAGAAAGTAATAAAATGTCATTTATCTTCAGTTAGTGCTGGTTATTGCTAATTAATGTGTTGCAGCTATTTTGCATTATATGCTTTGGGACATGTATTGTGTTAAATCTTGAAAACTAGCAGAGGACACAGGTAATATTTAAATATTTTGATAATTTTTCTTTGGCTGAGCCTCTAAAAAGCAGTGGTCTCATTTTCAAGGCCTCTTTTCAAGGACTTCTCAAAACTAAGATTCTCATAACTTAAACCTGAACTTATTGAACAATGCTGTCACCACATTTCCCACACACAATTAATAATGTCACCTACTGTTCTTAATAACAATCTACAGTAATCTAGTCCATTCTGAGCATAGTTCTTGTAGTACTTGAAGGATTAATTTCTTTTTTTCCCATTAAAACTTAAACTTATGTCTCCTATACATAAGTGGCAGGGGGAAATGATGGGGAAAATGAGAACAAGATTCAAAAATGTCTATTCTTTCTGTATCTCTCAGTTTTCAGTGTCCATTCAGGATACCTTTGTAAGTACACTGTCATTTTCTCTGTACATCCATACCCTTGTCCTGGCATTTGGCTAGGCACTGGAAATCACTGCATCTAGCAAAAACAAACTGAAGTGCATACATTAATTGCTGATTTCACTGTGTGGAGTAGAAGGTGGAGACATCCATTTTTCCGGGTTCCTAGACTATGCTTTGACCAGGCCCCTGGACCTCTATACTGACAGAGGAGAGACCATGACAATTGTGCAGCAAGGTGGTGGTGTAGTAACAACAAATTGTTTCTTCTGTAATAGTTACATGTAAGTGAAAAAGATGAGTAAGGCTCTTAAGGTAAATTCTCCTTTGAAATCTGGAGAACAAACATGCCAGCAATGTGACAATAAGACAGGAAGCATTTAGGGACACTTTATTGTATCTTGAACAAGCTTAGCACCAAAATTTAAGGCTAGTCTGATTTTTTTCTACCTCTTCAAAACATTTTTTATCAAATAAATCTGACCTTTTCTGCATGGTTAAGTAGGTAGGTACTTATGAGGAATGAGTAACAGATTATTTATTTATCAAAGTGCCTTATTTTTTATGACTTTTCAGGACTTAATTTTATACTGCGTAAAAACAAAATATTGGTTTGATTTCAAGACAATGACTGAGTGACAGATTCAAGTTTGAAATTCATTTGTTCCATTTTATAAGTCTCCTAGCCCCTAAACCATAGAGGAGGCAACACAATGCAATTCATGGGTTTTGGAGGCCAGAGAAAAAGAGCGGTATTTTGTGAGTGATCGGTGACAAATATTCCCAGAATAATGCCATAAGCTTATAACCTGGATGGGAGTGGAGATCTGCAGGTTCTGCGTGGAAGGTACAGAAGCAAAACCCTCTACCATTTCAGTTCTTAGCTTATCTGTCCATAGCCATGAAATTTAAAAAACAAACAAACCAACCAAACAAAAACCAAACAAAAAAGCCCCCAATAAATAAAAAAAAAATCCACCCAGAAAACAAAGCATCAAGCAGTACTATCTGGAAACCCCAAAAATGTTTTGCTCCTGAAAGCCAGATACTACCCCACGTGTTAAAATGTCCAGCAAATACTGAAAACAGGAGTTTAAGTTACTACATCACTACTTTTTCTTGAACTGACTCTGGTCAGGAAAAACTGAAATGCCTATGACAGCTCCATCTTATATTTGACAACAGTGACTAGCAATGGAATCTGGCACATTTGCAGTGGTTCTGAGTAATGCCAGCTCTCACTGAGTATGCATACAAAAAGCAAGAACCAATCTGACTTCAAATCAAAGGAATTTTTTGCTAGCTGAGAGACTCACAAAAGAGAGTTATATATGGATCAGCTGAAATACCAGAATTCATAGAGAAATTGATCACAACCATGCAAACCTCCCTCTCAAGTATTTCTGCTCAATCTCTGCACTTCAGCACAAGAGTGTGCAATTACCCAAGCTGCTGCCACTCCTGGGGCTCTCCATGTGCTCGTTAGCACAAGTATTTGGAAATGCAGGGACCTGAGAGAAAAGCTGATCCTTTCCTCACTCCTAGATCAAAGAATCGAAGGAAATAAGGACTCTGCTCTGCTTCCTCTCACTTTCTCCATACATGTAGTTAGCACCATCTCTGACAGGGAAAAAAAAAAAATTATGCAGGGTTGCATCTCCTGCTGCTCCCCATTAGCTTGTAAATTGAAGGAAGGAGAGAGAGCCCTTCAGCTCAGCATCCTGCTTCTTCACATCTATGTGGCTTGTGCCGTGCTTCACTTCTATGTGGCTTGTGGGTAAAAAAGGGATTATACACTGTTCTCTTCCATTACTTATTTAACAATTTCTATAGAAACAAACTCAGTAGAGAAAGAGGGTCCAGCTTCTAGTATGTCTTCCTTCCCAAAAATGTAATTATAAAACTCTTTTTCACATAAAGTGTAGTTCAAAAGACAGCAAAGCCTTGTCTCTCCACCCCAATACTGAAATCAGTTTAGACAAGAAAGAAGTCTGTGCCTGCTGTTTTGGGAGTAGGAAGGAAAAATCTTTTGAGAAAAGTGGTGATAATGAATCCATCCATGCTTCAAATCATCTTTCTTCTGCAGCTCTCAATCATTTCTGCCTCTGTTTCATCTCTGCTCTTCCTTCAGTTATTAGCACTCTTTGCTTTCCTCCCTCCCAAGCCATAAAATCTGTAGGAAACTGTGAAGCTAAAGTTTTATTTGTTTAATAAATACTAACTGACTAAGTCTTGTATGGGAACTTGTGATATGAGAAGACGGATACATGGGGTTTTTCTCCCTCAGTACTAATTTGGTCATTCTGTTTGGACCCCTCTCAGTAAGACAGAGATAATTTTATTTTATGATGCTAAACTGACCAACACTGTGGAGAACAAAGATCAAAAAAGCTATTGTTAACTGAAGAGTTATAAGACTTCTTTCAACCTCTTCTCCTTGCCATATGCATTTCAGCTAAGTTTGTCCATAAAACATAGAATATAAGTCAGTTCTTTTTCTTGAAGAATTTGTCAGAATTTCAGCCATGACTTTCTTTTCTCTGAAGTGCTCTTTTCAATCAAAAAGTGTTTTTCTTTCTTTCTACAATGACAAGGACTGTTTAAAATGAGGAAGTTCATAACAAGAAGTTTTTAAACAACCTTGTAACAACGCATCAGGGACCAATGAAAAACTTGGATGGGAAAAATAATGACAAGTAAACTTACCAATTCACATGTAGCAGTTGAAATAAACTTCTTACCCAATTTGTCATAATTCGTAGATTTAAAGAACAGTCTCATTGAACTTCTGCAAGAGTAATTTTTCACTAGAGAGTGGAAAATGCTCAAGTAGCACCTGAGATAGTTAAGACAGTGCTATACCCTTGAAGACCCAATAACCTATTTTTGTTTGCTGACTTCTTCAAATTAATTTTAAGAAGTGGATCTGTATATTACTAGCTTATTGTGGATAAACTATTCCTGATTATCTCATAAGTACTTAGCATTTAGGTTTTGACTGCAGCCTATAACATTTATTAATGGATTAGTAATGGAGGTGAGATGCACTCAGATATTTTTTCCTTGAAAGTTGAATCTGCAAATTGACAGCCATGAAAGAATAAATCTTTTCAGAGCCATTCCTATGGGACCCCTGGCATGTGCAAGGTTAAGCATATGCACAGAAATAATTCAAAAGTCATCATTTAAAATGAGTTACTAAAATCAAAATACACAGAATGAAATGGTAGTAAGCACCATGAGTAGTATGGTAAGAAAAGTGTATGAATTTAGTGATATTTCCTCTGGGACAAACTTCTTTTCATTTTGTTTGCACAGGATTCTTAGCCAAGGTCAGTGGACTTGATGGAGCTACAAGGTCTTTTCAAATACTTAGTGAAAATCAGTTGCTACTGTACAAGGACTCCCAGCAAATTGTAAATTTGCTTCCAATAATATTTCTGAAGATGAAGGGTTCAGAAGCTTGGCCTATACTTCCCATAAGAGAAAACTTGCAAAAGTATTACCTTTGCAAAAAATAGTGCAAGAAGATACATTAGAGGAATAACTCACAGAAAAAAGTATAAACATCATGGAATGCTTGCCAAGGTGGTGAAGAATCCTGGAAAACATGCTGAGATTCATGGAAAATAAGAAAGCAACTGGTGACAGCCAACACAGCTTTACTAAGGGCAAATTGTGCCTGACAAATGTGACCTCCTATGAAGGGGTCACAGCACAGGTAGATAAAGGAAGAGCAACTGGACTTGTGCAAAGCACTTGACAGTGTCCTGCAGGACATCCTTGTCTCTTAACTGGAGAAACATCGATTTCACTGATGACCACCTCGTATAAAGAATTAGCTGGATGGTTGCAATCAAAGAGTTTTGATCAACAGCTCAATGTCCAAGAGCCCAGTGGCGACTGGTGTTCCTTTGGTGTCATTATTGGGACCGGTGCCATGTAACATCTGTGTCGGTGACATGGAGAGTGGGATTGAGAGCACTCTCAACCAGTTTGCCAACAACACCAAAGTGTGTGGCACAGTTAACACACACAAGGGAAAGGATGCCATCCAGAAGGACCTGAACAGGCTTGAGAGGTGGGCCTGTGCAAACCTCTTGAAGTTCAACAAAGCCAAGTGCAAGGTCCTGCACCTGGGTTGGGAAAACGCCCAGTATCAAAAAAGGCAGGGGGATAAATTGATTGAGAGCAGTCCTGCTGAGAAGGACTTGGATGTGTTTGTGGATGAGAAGCTCAATCTGACCCATCAATGTGCACTTGCAGCCCAGAAAGACAAGAGCATCCTGGGCTGCATTAAAAGCAGCCAGCAGGCCAAGGGAATTGATTCTGCCCCTCCACTCCACTCTTGTGACACCCCAGCTGGAGTGGGGGCTGTGTCTGGCTCTAGGGCCCTCAATATATAAACCTGCAGATGCATGTCCAGAGGAGGCCCACAAAGATGGTCACAGGGCTGGAGCACCCCTCCTGTGGAGACCATCTGGGAGAATTGGGATGGTTCTGGGGAGAAAAGGGTCTGGGGAGACCTCCCAGTACTTAAATGGCCTCCAAAAGGGCCAGAAAGGGACTTTCTGCCAGAATGGGCAGATAGAGACAGGACAAGGGGTGTCCTTAAAAACTGAAAGAGAACAGGTTTAGATTTGATATAAGGAAGAAATTATTCACTGTGAGGGTGAAGAGGCAATGGAACAGGTGGACCAGGGAAGCTGTGGAAGCTCCATCCCTGGAAGTGTTCAAGGCCAGACTGGACAGGCCTCTGAGTAACCTGGTCTAGTGGAAGGTGTCCCTACCCAGGTCAGGGGGGCTGGAACAAGATGATATTTAATGTTACTTCCAAACCAAACCAATCTATGATCCTAGGAATGAGGAGTTACCAGATTATAATATATAAAACAAGTACACATCTCTGTCCATATTAAGTCCAAGAAAAATTAGCTTGAACGGTGTCAGAATAGGTGAAGAGGATTTAATTTTTCTTTGAAATCTTGTTCTTTCCCATGAAGATACAGGCATTGCAGACTTCTCCTCTGTGAGAGGTCAGGAAAGGTTAGATTGCTTGTTATAGCAAAATGATGGGTAAAGATACTAACTCTGGCAATAGCTGGAAGAAGATGATAAATACAGGGGAGAGAGATAAGCGGTTTAAACTGAAGGAAGAACTAATGATTAAACTGCTCAAGAAAAAGTTTAGGCAGGAAATCAGAAAATTTACTTAGAGATGCTGAAGACTCAGACTTACACTGCTTTTCTTGGGTGTTTTCTTCCGGTTTTTTTCCCCTTTCAGTAGATTTGAGTCAAAAGTGTAGTCTTTCTTGCAAGCTCTCTACCTTTGATAGCTATTAACAGTTCTATAAAGCCAGCTAGAGAAATGGAAAAACTAGCTTTTCTTTTCTCAGACAGCAGAAGAATGAGTGTATCTGTGGACAGAAATGGTTGTCTGAGGTGATGACAGAAAACATTTAAAAAGTAAAACAGACCTATAACCTTATTTCTTCCATTCTCCTGTTGGAATCTTCCCTCTTGTGAAGAGATCCAAAGCCTCACTTTAAATTAAAAGCTTTTATTAGTGTGATTTATAGCACTGATGGTAGACTTGGTGGACCTTAGTCTCTACTGAAACACATACACACACAAAAACTTCAAAAGTAATTTAAAATATTTCCCTGATACCTGTTCTCTGTGCAGTTTTAGACCCAGATTTTAATGCATGGCAGTGCTTTTATAGATCTAGATCTTGCTTTGAATTAACTTTTTGACATAGGCATCAAAAGGACATTTCTCTTTTACAATAAAGCTGTGATAATTTTAGGTATTTGCTGTTGACAAGTCAGAATGCTTTTATTTTCAATTCTGAAGACATTGTTTACTTTGATAAAAATCACAAGATGAGTCAAATCTTGTCGTGAGTTTCTCTTGACTGTGTCCCAAATACATCTCTACTCTGTAATTTTTAAGTTTGTTATTTTCCCCCTAGCTTCACTGGCTTTTATTGTTATTGCTTCTTACAACTAAGGCAGATACTGGGAGCCTACAGGGGTGAGCATGAAATCACAGCAGGAGTTCAGGCAAATTGGATACATGGGTTTTCCACTGAAAGTGGGAATTATCTTTATACAGTTTAGGTGTAATGTGCATTATTTGGAGAAGAAGTATCATAATAATGTGTAATTCCTACCTTAGTGATCATAGGGTATGATTTAATCCAAGTAAAAATGAATGTTTCATATTTAGCTGGGAGCTTTGGCAGTCTTCTTCCTGCCAGCTAAAATCACAGGGTTTATGCTAAGGCTATCCACCAGGCAATTTCACTCAAAAGAAAAGAGAAAAATTTAACCTTGACCTGCACAGGGCTCTGCCACTGACACTGCCAGGGCCTACCACCCCTATTAGCTCCAGGTATTCACAGGTGTGCTGAGTGGCCCAGAAAACAAACCATCCTCAGTCATAGCTATCTTTCAACTCAATATTTTAATGGATGAAACACTTCTCTAACAAACTGGGAGTCTGCACTCTCTGCAGGAGCTTTTAACCCTTTCTGTTTTGTGCCAGCACTGAATCCAACACTAATGCTAGAAAAGCAGGAGCAAGGACCGAGGTTTTCCTCTCTGAACTTGAAAGTAACATATTCTACATGCTAGATGTATATATATTCTAAGACCCTTTCAAGACCCCTTCAGCACTGAGCACAGAACATCAGTTGTGCCCAACAGCATTTAATACAAAAGGCAGATGGTAAAAAAAACAAATAAACAAAAAAAGACCTATAGTGTACTGCTCCCCTTATTTTAATTCCTACATTAAATTATTCCTATATTATTGCCTTGAATGAAATTTTTCTGATAGCTCACATGCAGGAGGAAAATCCACATACAAATAAGTGAGATTTTTCAGGCAATCTAAATAAGGAGTACAGTAGATTTACTAAACAAGTCAACTTCCCCTGCAGTACTCTCACTCAAAGTGCAGAAGTTTAGAACTTGCATTTATTCCCCTTTTTATTCAGGCATATTTAGGCAGGTATATAAATCGATATACTAATGCTGAAAGAATTTCAGAATATCAAAAGCTCCTAATTGATAGTTAAATGTGAGCTTATTTTTTCATGTGAAACTTCTGTACTATGCTCATTGTTGAAATAATGGTAATCATTTTCTTTGTGACATTCTCTTGAGGAATTTTAAACAAAAGCCTTCTGTAATTGCTTAGTTATTTCAGACCTGCCTAGTAATTTTCCACCATATTAAAAGGCATTTGTTACTGAGAGTGATGTAAAAAATGTACATGTCTGATGGATGGAGCTTTTACTTATTTTCAGTCAACATAATTACCTTTTATTAACACACCTGGTATCTGAAGAAAGGCATACTTTTTATTTAATTGACTAATACTTTCCTAGGTTCATATCTGTAGGATATCTATTCTTTTCAAATTATAATGAGCAAAGAAGATTGGTTATGTGGACAATACAATGTTTTTAGTTTTTTTAAAAGAAAACAAAAACAAAACGCTACTCACAATAAAACAATGCTGTTTAAGAGGAAAACTTAATCCAACAAACTGAATTTTGAAGCAACATTTACAAGTAAAAAACAGAAATAGAAAAACAATTTTTGTAGAACACATATTCTGGTGACTTTTTAAGGTAAGCAATATTATACAGGGTATTTTTTATTCAGATATTGGAGAATTAAATGAAAGAGATTATTTACCTAAAAGTCAGCAATAGCACTACTTATTATTTGATTGTCATAGTTTAACCCCAGCCAGCAACTAAGCCTCACACAGCCATTCACTCACTGATCCCCTCAGTGAGATCAGGGAGACAATCAGAAGTGTAAGAGTGAGAAGCTCATGGGTGGAGCTAAAGGTAGTTAAACAGGTAAAGCAAAATCCACATATGCAAGCAAGGAAAACAAGAAATGATTTCACCATTCTGCACAGGAAGGCTGATGGTCATCCATTCCCAGGAAAGGAGGGCTCCATCACACCTAACAGTGTTTTGGGAAGAGAAACACCATCACGCTGAACATCTCCCCCTTCCTCCTTCCTCCCCCAGCTGTATATGCTAAGCATGGTGCCCTATGGTATGGGATATCCCTCGGGTCAGTCAGTGGGAGTCAGCTGTCCTGGCTGTGTCACCTCACAGCTCCTTGTGCACCCACAGCTTCCTCGCGGATGGAGTGCTGTGATGGGTAGAAAAAGCCTCGGCTTTGTGTCAGCACTGCTCAGCAACAGCTAAAACATCCCTGTGTTATCTACACTGTTTTCAGCACAAGTCCAAAACATAGCCCCCACCCCAGTCAAAACCAGCACAGTTATGTCATTTATTCCATTTATCAAACTGATTTTCCAACAGTGCAATGAGAGCTAATACCTGTTCAGTACTTTTGGCAACCTGCACCCAATGGCTTCACTGATGCTATGAAATAATTCCTGTGATGTATTCTGAGGCTTTACAATAGCAGAGGGATTTTGTACCCATTGCTATTCATGACCAGGTTGTAAGGGCTGCTGCCAAGTTTACATGGATTGAAGACGTCCTGATCACCATATCCTGCTCCCTTCTGTCCCTAAAAAGAGACCCAGGATGACCCTTACAAGAACACACTGCAGTGGTTTCTGCTTTTCTCGCTGTTTTGCATCTGCTTTTGTGCAATGACATGTGCTTTGTTCACAAAGGACTTGGGGTCTCCTGTAAGGCACTGATTCCAAAGTCCCCAAGCAGTGTGTAAAGCTGCCAGACTGCCTGCTAGCAGGTGTGCAGCGCAGGCGGTGGGGCTCTAAACATCTCCTTCAACAAGTTTGTAGGTACCACAAGCATGAGCACTATTCTCACATAGGTTTAGGTAAGAGCAT